TCGCCAGTGCCAGGCAAACATATGTTTACCCAGCATACCACTCGGCCGTCGTACGCTTCAATTCCACAGTCAAGACATTTAGCACGACATCTGGATGACAAGCGCCATGCTGAGCTGGTTTCAAGCTTCAACATGTATGGGCAAGTTTCCAGCCCTGAACCGCAGCTCATGTTGTTCTTTGGCTGCATTGGACCATTGGATAATCATACACCAAGCAACAGATGGCAGAAGCATTTGCATCACCCTGTCTAAAGAAATCATGGTCTCGATTTCTCAGAGTTTGTGGCTGGCTGTCCTATGGCTTGAGAAGGCGGAGTTTTGTCATAACCTTTTGCGGCCGGCAGGTCTCGCGCACGAAGCCGATCCTGCGGAGACGCAAGGCGAAGACTTGCCGTGAAAGCTTCAATCTAGTATAGCAAGAAGCATCCAAGGACGGTTGAGATGTTTTATCATCGTCCCCTGCTTCCCGAAGTGCAGACTTGGGGGTCATATATATATATATATATGTCTTTTGCTCTGTGGGTTATCGGTCCAATTGTCCCAAACTGGTAAACATGGCCAGCGGGCAAGCATACCCCCACATTGACATGGAGGCTGAATTGAATCACGGTTTTCACAGACTCTTGATGAGTGCCATTTGTTAGAGCATATTAGAGCATATTGAAGGATTTGCCAAACTGTCCGTAATTAACAGGAGCTGTGTCGCACGTTGAAGTTTGATTCCCTTGCCTGCTGTACCGCTATGTTGAGCTTGATGCGGCACTTAAAGGTTTCTACTGATTCGCTCATGCAAGGATACAGCAGTCACATGCAATCACCATTGATTCCATGCAATATGTCAACTGTTGCGCAGAGCAGGGCAAGAATGCCTTTCCCGTAGAGAATACTTAGTGGTTTGTCGTGATGGGTTCCCAGCGTTTGGGCGCAGGCAGGCGACGGAACCTGACCGGACGGAACATGACCGGACGGAAGTTCCCATGGCCGCCTGGTTTGATACTTTGTCTACTGAGATGGAGTTGGTTGAGATAAATTTGGTCATGAGAAGCTGGCTCTTCTCACCAAGTCATATTAACATGCTGTATATGTTCTGTTTTGGAGAGCATGACACTACAGCGAAATGCGGTGATTCACATTGGCGAATTAATGCTTGTGCTTGGTCCTTGCGAACTTGCCGGCTGCAGGCTACGCTCTCTTTAAGTTGAAGAGTGTTTCGTTATTGACAAGGCCTTCTACTTGCTGGTTGAGTTGTCTGGGACCATGTAGTCGTTCATATTTTCTGCTTGACTGCCTGCTAGTTGTTCGGACATGTGCTTTAATTTCCGATTGACAGTTAGATCATGAATAGATGTTGAATGTGGTTAGTGCTGGATGTGTGGCAGGCACTGATTTTCAGGGTTCCTTGCGACCGCATGTTGCGACCGCATGTTGCTGGTGGTGGTGGTGGTGGTGGTGGTGGTGGTGGTGGTGGTGGTGGTGGTGGTGGTCGTGACCGTTGCTGTTGCTGTTGACATCGTGGCTTTTGTGGCCATTGTTGCCGTTGCCGCTGTTGTGGCTATGCTGTTGCTGTCGCTGTTGCTGCTGTTTGTGCTGTGGCTGTTTGCTGCCGCCGCCGCCGCTTGCCGCTGCAGTTGTTGTTTGCTTGACTTCATGGTCAGAATTCAAGCACTGAGTGTTTTTCTCGCAGCCCAGGTTACTGCACCTTGCATGACAGCAACGGACAAAGCAACCGGAGTCGCAGAGGCGTCAAAGGCGCTCGGCATGAAGAGACGTTTTGCTTGCAACGTTTGTGGGCACGCAGGGCATGCCGGGCATGCAGTTACATGAGCAACTTTGCACGGATGGCTCAGGTTGAGATTGACAAGTCGGACGTCAACGCAAACTCTTTGAACGTGGATCAATTCCTTCAGCCTCAGTGGTGGATCCCTGAAGTGGATGGGGCAGCTGGGCTCCACTGTGGCATACTGTCGGTTGATCCAGGCTTTTCTTGAAGCACTGGGCAAAAGTACCTAAGTCCACTGGTCCATATGAATCGAATGGTTTTTCCCACGGGTCTCACTTGTCCGGAAGGATCCCTATGTTGATTGATTTACTACGACGGAGTTGCCCTTTGCACTCGTGACGAGTGCATCAGGTATGCGTGGGTGACCATCGCTTTCTTCAGGTTCTTGGTGAAGGCTGGCGAATCCTCGACACAAATGTTTCACTTGCCCGTTCCAGACTCCAGGCATCACAAACAGTTTGTGTCAAGTAGGGCCCTCAAAGTCCCAGGCGAACGGGGGATATGGTATGATATGGTTGTGATTTGTCCACATCCAGAAACATTATGGTTGTTCGCTTTTCTTTCTGCTGGCAGGCACCCACGGCCGTGTCTACAAGGTTGCAGATCAACTTTGTGGAGGTTTCAATGCCGTGAAGGTCATCAGGCCGGAGAGTCCGAGGGTGCGAATGTCGGGTTTTCTTGTCCTGCAAATTGAGCCTTGCGTTGAGGGACTGTTGGTAGTAGTCATTTGCTGGGTGTGACAGCCCGTGATTCGGCGCGACCTTGCGTTCGCAGGAAAAATCGCCTGAAGAGCATGGACGAGGTCTATGGAATTGCAGGTGAGTGCAACACTCTGGCCTGGCTCAAGCACCCCAACATCATCCAGTGCCTGGGAAGGATGAATATTCTCAAAGACAGCTTTTCTCAAATATCATGATAGACCGCGAAACCGTGAAGCGCACGATTCTTTTTTCAGGCATGAGCTTGCCTTTGTTCAGGAGGCGGCACGCTTGGAAAATCACCATGGGGGCCCTAGACGCGAGCCGGGTGCTAGCATTTCGTGTACTTTTGATTTTGCCCCATCAGCTGAAAGCTTGGAGCGACTCCGGCCTAGACTTCCGGGAAGGGTTCCGGGGATTACAGTTGGGGATACAACCTGGGCTCTTATTCTTAGCTCGCAGATTATTTTCATTTTTCTCGTTGGGGCATCTAAGAGGCGGTCTAGTTTGCCTCTCGCGCCGCGACTGTAGCGAGGCACGGGCGATAGTTTGAGCCACCTCTTGTGCTTTCTGATTCAGGGCTCAAGCTCGGAACTTTCTCCGTGCCAGCAATAAAATGCGTAGCAAAGGCTCGCCAAAGCCTCTCGCATAGGCCCCGCAGTGAAGGCTGGCTAAAAGTAATTTGGCGTGCGAAGCCACCAGCCTGTCGCGTAGCTGCACGAAGGCACCTTCCACATTCTGGCCCGTGAAGCCCCCAGTCTCGCCAACAGTGTAGAATCCCCGAATCATAGAAGAAAACAAGGCTCATAATTTGTTGTTTGGCCTTTCTACTGGCTTTCTCTTGCCTCTTCCTCAAAGCCGTGTCGGCTGCGCCATGCAAAGAGGAACTCCGCAACAGGGGCTGAGGTAGGGCAAGCTTCCACAGGTGTTGGCCAGTACGAGCTTCAAATAGGACAGGACAGCTGCAACAGAAAGTGCTAACAGAAATCAGAAGAGGCGGGTTGCGGTGTTGCACACACGGAGGCTAGATTCTTGCTTTGAGTTGCTCAGGTTGCGCGGCGCAGTGCACGCCAACCAAAACTTCTATGTGTTCATGGAGTTCGCTGGAAACATCTCGCTGCACAATGTGCTGCAAACAAGGCGCAGCCCTTAAGCCAAAGCCAGGCACGAGGGAGAACTCAGCCTGAGAGTCTGAGAGAGTGTGCTGTGCGACCCTTGCTTGAAACGGGATTTGCAATCCCCAATTTTCATGGATAATCTCAGGGTGCAGGTGCCGCATTGTGGGCGCAATGCGATCGCACCCAGGGATGAGCAAATTGGACTTGACCTGAAGATCGCGCGCCAACTCTTCAATCAGCTGTTTGATCCAATTTGGTGCGCCTGGATCCCCAAATGTACGCATACACTATTGCCAAGTTGCAGACGGGTCCCAAATTGCATTGCGTAGGTTTTGGGATCCAGGCATTTCGGTGTTTATTTGAGAAGAGGGAGGGAGAGAGAGAGAGAGAGAGAGAAAGAGAGACAGAGAAGATAATTACTGTAGACAAAGCTTTCAAATGTGCTTGGGCATGCGATCATTGCATGGACATGCTACCAAATATGTTTTGATGTGGAATGCAGACCGCCAGGCAAACATGGAACCATCATGATACCCAACCTGTGATCATATGAAGCCACTGTCAGGTGAAGACATGCGCTGGTTCCATGTTGCTGGGTGGTTGTGCATTTTGAACATGAATGTTGAGCTGGTTGCAGAGCGTACTTTCGGAGCGCTTGGAGACTAAGCAAGGATCGCTGACGCAGTGGCATACTGCCATTGGCACGGACTTGCACACTGTGTCCCTTATCACAGACCAAAGCATTTTTGGATGCTGAAGATTGTTTGTATTTATGGATGTGTGTGTTGTGAATCCAGGTACAACTGAAGGCTGTTTTCGTTTTTTTGCTTTTTGTTTTGCTTCGGCGACTCTTTATGTTGTTAAGACGGTGATCATTTGTTTTAGTTACCGTATTACTAGTGTTTTCCGGTTTTCGGTCCGAAAACTACGGGCTGATTCCTAAAGCGCCTGTTGGCGCAGGATGGTTTTCTTGACGCAGCAACATGCCCAGGATCTCAAACCGCAGAATATTGTGATCAACGAGGATGGAACACCAAAGATCCTTGTTCTTCGCATGGGCAATCTGCCTTTTGAGAGATGTGTACTATTGTTTTGGCACGGACTTTGTTTTGGGCTGAACTTGCTGTGCAGTGACCTTGCTGCTCAGGGCATAGCAGGCCGCAAAGGCAGTGTGAGTTCAGACCTGTGCTTGCCTGCACATGGACTTGTGCACGCACACACCCACAAGCTACACCGACGCGTGCAACCATTTACCAAATGTCAATCGGCGCATGATGTTGGATGCAGCAATGTGCTCAGTGAAGACCCGCTTGTGTGCACCTCTTCAGCCACGCGAGGCTTTACAAGTTGATGTTGAAATAGCATGTTCGAAGCACGAGTCTTTTGCTATTTGAGTACTTGGGCCCTTCCTGCTACGCTTCTCTATGAGTTGTCCAGAGATATGTTGCAGATACCTTCCTTATAGTTCGTTACGCACCCGCCTGTTTTTACCCCCCCTTACATACACCCCTTATATATATAAATATATATATATATATACCCATGCGTCCCTGCTTCGACTCCTGGCTGGCATCAGGGTTTCCCAAGCTATGCTTCGTGCTGCTGCTGCTGCTCCACTACTACCACCACCACTACTACCACCACCACCACCACCACCACCACCACTACTACTACTACCGCTAGACCACCACTTGTACTACTACTATTCTACCGCTAGTACTACTAGTACTACTAGTACTACTAGTACTACTAGTACTACTAGTACTACTAGTACTACTACTACTGCTACCACCACTAGTACTACTACTACTACTACTACTACTACTAGTAGTAGTACTACTACTACTACCACTTGTTCTGCTACCACTACTACTACTACCACTACTACTGACACAGTACTACTACTACTACTACTACTACTACTACTACTACTACTACTACTACTAATACTGCTACTAGTACCACTGCCACTGCCACTGCCACTGCCACTGCCACTGCCACTGCACTGCTGCCACTGCCACTACCGCCAACACTGACACGTCATACATTTGGCAGCTCCTCCAGCACCAGCACCATCAGCAACACCGCCGCCGCCGCCACCACCATCGCAGGATTCTTTCCGCCTTCCACGTTTTGTACCCTCGGATTGATTTGCGCCTATGTGTTGCTCAAATGGTGCATCCAATCGGGTGTCACCACACATTGACGGCACACGCACCCGCACACACACACAACACAACTCGAATGGCTGTTTCAACAACGCTGCAATCAATGACTGTTGCCGTCAGAGTGCTCGTTAACATGCAGCAAGAAATTACTGCATTTGCTCTACCAGGCTCTGTGAAGCATTGGCAGACTCAGCCCGATGTTGGAACGTCATGTTTCAGATCTGCAGCAGTCTGCAATCGCACCTCATGAAGTCAATAATGGGCTGTATATCATCATACTTGGCAAGCAACGCGGCGCTGTGAGTTGTGGCAGTGGATGTGCGGAAATGTGTTGCTCTTATGTTTTTCCCTACAAGGTTTCCTTCTTGATCCTCATTGGGAGGCCCCAGCCAAGTATCAGGGGAAACGCATTGATCATATGCATGATTGTTGTATTGGAGGCTACTCTGTTTGCCTGCTAGGGATCAAGAAGGACAGCCTACTTGCATGCTTTGCACGCCCTGTGTGCGCTTTGGCGCATGCCTATAAACCCAGGATCGTTGATTTTGGGTTGGCCTTGAAGCTTGGTTGGCCAGTAGGCGGGTCCTGATCTTACGAAGTGCGACGTTCAAACCTTTGCAGCAGCCTGGGAGATGAAATGCGATCAGAAAGGGGCAAGCTTTACTGTAGACTGCAGCGTTGCTATTTCAGGGTCATTCAGCCAGAGGCATGGGTGTTGGCATCCATTTCTTCTCAGTTCAAAGTTGCACTTGTGTTCAGTCAAGGCTGTCTTCTGGAGGGAGCGAAGAATTCATCTTCTGGGCTGCTGTACAAGGGGGAAGCAGGAACACGGTCAGTTGTTTGAGTGACTGGAGCTTCAGGATCGGCTGCCGCCTCAGTCGTGAAGCCCACATTTGCCCCGTGTGGTAGAGCTCGTTTCCCATTACACTGGGGGTACGGACAGTGATTACTGCTGGCGTTGTCCGGACTAACTTCTCCGAGCCTTTCATTTCCTCGCGCAGTTGTCCCTGCAGGCAACCCTCGCGGGACTTGGCCATTTACCGCGCCGGAAGCAGCGTGGCCTTGCGGCCGGCCGTGGGATTTGGCAAAAGCTGACGCCGCCCGGCAGAATCGACGTGCGCCCCCCCTCCCACTTTTGGAGGGGGCCCTTTGGGTTTGACTCCAAGTCTGTGGGCTTTGCACGTTTTGTTTGGAAGACTGTGGTGCGCTGATTTGGTCTGGTGATCAATCGTGGAAACGAGCGTTTAATACGCCAGGTCTTCTCTTTGGCTGCGGTGCTGATCGAGATGCTGTGTGGCACAGACAAGTGCCGCGGCCAAGAAAGCTTGTCAGATCGGGAAGGTGAGTTGGAATCGCGCAGAGGCTCTTTGCCGGAAGGGTGGACAAACCTTGTGCCAAGGGGAGCTGGCCAGCGGGAATCCCAAACCGCCAGGCCGCAGGGACAACCCAAGAAAATAACAGCGTAAGAATAAGCGCTCCCTCAGCCTGCCTGCGTGTATGGGGACGACTGATGTGGCCGCGGTCAAGTGCGCAGTTCGCAGCTATAACATATTTAATCGTCTACTTTTGGCTGCTCTCGTGAGGAGTGGACCCAGGAGCATCGTACGTTGGGTTCCCAAAATCACCTTGAAAGCTGGGGCTACACGTTTTTTCGGGTGTACAACTTTTAGCTCGCAGGTTCTTACGTTTGCTTGCGTTCATTTTTTTTTTTCGCACAGAAAGGTCACACATGCAGCTGCGTATGTGTGATTGGCAGGTTGCTGATGATGCCCCCCCCCGCCCAAATGCTGACTTTTCTCGTACTCCACGCCTCACAAACTACAGTACTTCTGAGCTTCTGAGGCTCTTCCGGATGTTTGGATGGATGTCGCAGACCCCGTTGAACCTTTGCCGTGTGCAAGAGATGGTGGCGTACCTTGCCACGCCGGGGTTCCTCACCACCAGCCTCTCCTCGGAACTAGGTGCCGTGGCTGAAGTGCTGGGCAGTGAGGTTTCTGTGAGGAAAGCCAAACGAGATATCAAACTCCGATTTGGCAAGTGCGTCAGGTCACGCTTCTTACTTGCTGGCTTTCGTATCGTGTGTGACAAACTACGACAGTGCGGTTTGTGGCTGAAGGTGTGGGCGGGGGTTCTAATATCAGCACAGGATGGATTGGGGTGATTGCTTCCTGGTGATTCAAAGTCCTGAATCGAACGCTCCACCTCAACAATCATTCGCTGTCCCTTTTTCCGGAGCCAGACGTGCCTTGCCCAAGTTGTGGTTCCGGCAATGGACAGGCGACACGTTTGATTGAGAGGATACGAATACAGTTGGTGGGCACCCCCCTACCACTAGCACGGAATCTCACCAGGGGCTCCCGGAAGACAACATTGCAGGGACTTTGTTGTTCCGTTTGCTGCCAAGTGCTGCGGGTGTTCTCGCCAAGGAAACGGGGCCTTGAACATTGCGCCAATGATCACAGGCGCGCGACCCACGGGCCATGCAGACTAAATGAGAGGGACCTGGTTTTGTGGCGACGCCCAACCTTCTTTGAAGGGCCATACACCAAGAGGTAACTAGAGGTCCAAAAGCAGGTGTGGGGTTGGAAAAAACGGGTCCCCAGCGTGAGGGGCACTGAGCAGAGTTATGAGAGCGAGGTATGACAGCCAGCTTTGGGCTTAAACGCACTTCTTTTTGCCTGGTCACGAAAACACCTGATAGAACTACGTAGGACATCCGAATGATGCTTGTCCGTATGGCCATGACTGAGGCATGATGAACGTGATTCCCCTCAAGCGGTGGAGCGCAAAAGTTGCTGCATCGTTCAACTGGTGAGCCGTTGCTGGCAATAATGCTTTTCGCTACAGACCTTGATCAATTTGGCACTCCTCCGGTAACCTTGGGCAGCGCAGGTCGCTAGCTTGTTTGCAAGTTTCTGCAGAAGTGGCCTGGACAAGCCCAGTGGGAGAACCTTCAGCCACTGATGACTCGTATGCAGACAGAGGCGCCAAAACATCCGTTGGTATCCACTGGTGCTTGAATACCCTGTTGCTCAGGGCCCGGTCCGTGAGTGTCAGATTTTCAAGCGTGTTTGTACGTCTATGTGGGCGGCACAGGTTTCATCATCAATTTGGATCAATGGATTTTCAATCCAAACCTGGTCCCCGCTTCAGCCCATTGGAGGCTTCCTTAGGCGCTCTTTTTTGTAGCGCCTTGCCAGCACAGCCGGGGCATGAGAAGACCAAGCACCCCCATATGGCATCCACACTAGGCTTTCAAAGAACAAGACAGGCGAAGCTATGGCTGGTGGCATTTCAGCTGCTAATCTGTCTTCCTGGGGATGGCCACTTCCCGCAGAGGATCTGATTCCTGATTGTAGTAGCAACATGGAGCCCATGTCAACTTTCCAAGTGGTCGTTTCCATTTGACCATTCTGTCTACCTTTCCCAGCTGAGCATCGTCTCCAAGCTGGGCAGGAAATCTTTTGAAGTGCTTCTGCTCGCGGCTGGAAATCCTTGTCATAGCACCATGATGAGCACTCGTGCGCACTTTTGCTTTGTTTGTGGAACTGGCGGGTCGGCAGCGACATTCACTGAAGCAGTCAACGGCCCAGTCGGGCCCTGCGAGAATGTGGCTCCCAACCTGCCGAATTCAACTCAATACATGGCACGGTGCTCGTTTGCGGTTGACAGTCTCGCAAACCGGAATCAGCTGGCCAGGAAGCTTCTGGTAAAAAGCGCAACTGCCGAAGGGAAGCACATCACGCTAGTCTAACCCCCAGGGCCTAGCTGCGTTACTCCCTGTGCCAAGGCCGAGCAGCAGCAGAAAGCAAAGGAAAGCTTCAAGAAATTGAAGTCGGCGCAGGAGGCTGTCGCTTTGGATGGCTACGTTTCATCTCGCGGAACTAAGCAGTTGGTTCTGGCCGCCACTCCTTCAATTCGCATCAGTTCGTGTAGGGTTCAGGGTTAGTCGCAACTTGGATCGGCCAGGATGTGGAGCAATCCAAGCGCTGGGCTGAAAACGCTGTGCTGGACCTGCAGGTTAGGGCTGAACTCCGGCTTTGGATGTACGGCGTTGCAGTCCATTCACGTGATTTGGTGATGGCGTTTCTTGTGTGGTGATTTCAAGGTGATGGCGTGTTTTGAGTCGTGATTTCAAGGATTCCGGATACCCTACACCTGGACACTGCAATTCCAGAAACTTTGAGAGGCTCACGTGAAGTTTATGGAGGTGGAAGTGGATCGCCTGCAGCAGCC